CTGTGCGTCGGGGCCAGTGGCAGTTACCGTCCACGATGGAATATTGTTTATTGCCCGTAAATCTTACGAGCGATTCTTCCAAGTTTTCCGGAAATAATAATAATAATTCACGTCTGGAATAATAAAAGATTTCCTGCGGGTGTGCATGTGTTTGCGGAACAGACGTGCATAATAAAGTCTTGCTGCCGGTGTAAAACGCTGAATTTAATTCAGATCGAATCGTTTCGATTCGGATTCGAGACGTTAAGCGGCGCGATGTACCGCGAAAGGAAATCATTTTGGCACGATGCCCCCGTCTTGCCAATTTGGCGGCGCGGCGGCTTTATGAAATATGATAATAGGAGAATAAAGTCAATTCGCGTGTAAAACTTCGTGATAGAGCGTAATATTTATTACGCGCTCTTGGACGAGTAAACACAGGCCTCAGTAGTTATATTTTGTCTATTTTGGTCTCAGAATTGCAATTTTTGGCGCGCTCAAGTTTCGACGTACTAGACAGTGGATTTTAAATATAATTGGAAATTTTATATTATATATTTGAAATGCGTATGCTTTCTCGAAAAAAAAATAATGATAAAAGTATTCGGGAATGAAAATTCTCGAAGGAATGATAAAATATTCGTAAAAGAGAAATAAAATATGAATAATATTCTTTAATCATTATGCAGACACGCATAAAATCCCATCATTTTTCACTCGAATTGCTCTTTCCTTTTCTCTTGGCATAAAAATGATACACAGCTCGTCTCTCATCGCAATGAGCGATTACGTTACGCCGTATTAAGAAACAATTCCGGCGATTCCGCTTAAGCGATTCATTTAATATTAATCGCGATTGCAGCCGTCGCTCAATTAACATCCGCCGACAAGTGAATCGTCCCCGCGATTTCGTCACGGAGGATAGGTGCAGGCCCCAACGGAGGTTTTCCGTGACGCGCGTGCAGCTGTCGGAAGAGATCGAGAGTCATTGAGAGGCGCGCGGGGTTATAAACGACGCCGGGGAATACAAGCGGCCAGTGCGGTTATCGCTGCAGGAAATGTCGAAATGGCTCGCTCGCATGTGATGACGCGCGCGCGTGCCCATGCCGCCTTTCTCTCTTTCGACGGTTCATCGATGCCGCGATCCTAATTCCAATTCCGTGTGTACGTGTGTATGTGTGTATGTGTGTAAGAAGCGCCTCGTGCTCGCCGATCGACGCGCGCGTGATCTCGGTCACGCAGCTCACCGGCGCGACCGATAGCCGGGGAAATTGTCCGCCGTCTGTGCACGTACCGTCCGTTACTACTGCGCCCGGCAGCGGTGGCGGATTACCGCACGGACACGTAACTCGAGCCATTTGAGTCGCGTTCAAGCGTAAGGAGGTCATCCGAAACTCTGCATTATTAACTGATAACTGTCGATTGCTCGCAAATCAACTATCTATTTTGCATCGCCGCTATAGAGTGACGTAAGCCTTCACGGTAAAGCCATCACGGTGAAACTTTTCCTAGATTGAAATGCGCTCACAGGTGGATTAGTTCGTCTTTTTCGATTAGTTCTTGGCGATGCGAACTCTCGGCGTTTTCAGCGTTTTCGAATGCGACTGTTTTATTTTATGCTGTCGTTTTAATTTAAGTAGTCCTCCTTTAAATAGTCTAGCTTCTGCAATTCGCTGTTCATACGTTTGATGCACTTAACTAGGAAAGCTATTGCGAAACTTTATGAAAAAAATGATTTGTTTATTAGGTTACTGTTGTTAATGTTCTCGCTAAGATTGTATTTTATATTATCGAGCTAATACTCCACATATGGCTATTGTTTTAGTTATGTAAAAATATTTATAAAAGGTCGACATGTAAAAAATATGATATTAAAAATCATGAAGTTTTAAAAAAATGTGTGTCCGATAAACATTAAATTTATACAATTAAATTAAACCGATACTAAATATTTATCGTTTTTTCTATCAATGAATTAAAATATTGAAATTTTTTTGAAAAAGAAGTTGAAAACATTCTAAAGTAAGAAAAGTAATACCAAAACAAAAAGTGCCTGTGGCGGTAATTCTGCTTCGATTTTGCTGAAATTTCAATTTTGGTCGACAAACCTGGCAATATTTAATACGAGTACTCTAATATTATTCTCTTTTAATATCTATGATAAACATAGCATCTTGGCACATCTCAATCTGTGTATTGAATCATCATCACTGCTTATCGTTATGCGAATAAAACTATACAGAACTGGGAAAACTTTAACAAGGAAAACGCCTGCGAAAAAATTACTCTATTGTCCATGTTGCACGCAGCTGTTTGCAGTTGCCTACTTCCAGGCGCTATTATTAAATTGTAATAATTGAAACAAGAGAAGTGAAGAACTATTTTTGGAACAGCGATTGTGACATTACTGAGTTTTGAATTTTTTACTGTATAATATTGTATTCTTTGAAATAAGTAATTGTATCATTTTTTTTTTATAAATTTCGGTCCATGTTATACACATTCGAACAAATTACACACGATCTTGTTGTTTATTGAAGAGAATTCAAAGATTGATTAAATTTGATGTGCAAAATAAATAGCTCTAGGAGGAAATACTATATGTGCGTGCGCGCACATAACATGTATAAGTTTGCAGCTCGGGCTCGGAGGGATTAAAAAATTCCAATATTGCGTATCAACGAGTAAATATTTCAGAACGCGGTTGTGTATTTCCGTTCGAAGGTCCGGTTGGTCGATTGGCTTGGGCTACGAATTTATTATTTATATCTCCGATGGCCGAGAACTCGCAACGCAAGTGGCTTATTCATAGTTCTCTCGACTCACACCACACACACATACCCACACACACACATACACACACACACACACATCGCGATAATTAACATAATGCACATTTAACATAATACTATGCAGTCTTCAGCGTGCAATCGTGAAGTACGTACATATAATACGTTCTCAGCAAATACCTCGGCGCCGCCGTCTTTCGCGGCCCCTGCCGCGAAAAATCGCGGTCGTAACTCCGCGACACCGCGAAGTGTTACGCAAATATTTGTTTTTTGGCGAAGTATTGCCCGAGCGTGAAAGCAACGAGCGCGTAAACAAGGGCCATCGAAATTGTGCCAGAGCTATTTATACCTGTTCGCTTATATTTACCCGTACCGGTGAAAACGGCGCGCGCGCGCAACCGTTAGGTCTCTTAATTAAATATTGTTCGACAATTTATTTTATTCCTACCCGGAATGTCGCGCGGGTAACATTAATTTCGCCGGCCTTTAGACCTGTTTCGACGGTTAATTATTGGCATATCGTCGTACGATTTAACGCAATAACGCAATTTATGCTGCCTAACCAGCCAGTGAAATCCAGCTTTGCACAAATTGCGAACCCGCCCGTGCGGTCGAGCGATTAAAATGAATCACATCCGAAGGTACGGAGCGCTGCTGTATTTTGTACATTGTTATTTCCCGCTCGCCTCTGTGTGTATTCAGATGTACGCTGCGCGAAGTTCCGAATTTATATCTTCCGAAACATAAAACGTTTTCTCTCAGTTTTGTTTAGTGTACACGTGCGCGCCTTTTGGCTCGTATTGCTCCGAGTTGCTACCGAGTTGCTAAATATTACAGCGCTAAACGTATAGAAACAGCAATTCTATGAAAATTACCTTAAATCTTTAAATTCGCTGCCTGAAAGAATCCAATCTCACCGTTTAATTCATGGATAGTGTGAATAATTCGATTGTTCATCCAACAAATAGTACGTTACCTTCTTTCGCTTGTAGTTGTATTACACCGAATAATCTACACATCATATTTTTATTAAGACCTAATAAAACATATATCTTATTTATTTCTTTGTATAATATTCTTTACAAATAAATTTTCTCAAGTTACAACGAAAATGACTTTTTCTTGTTAAATCGTGATTTAACGAGAAAAATAGGTATTTATATATCACAGATATCTCTGTAAGTTATATTTTATTGCATTTGAAGAAATGCAAAATATATGTATATTGTGCTTCAAGAAGAGAATTTCTCGACGTTTCGGCAAACGGAACACTGTTCCGCAGCACACCGCCGACACGAGCGAATTCGCTATAAGCCGCGTCGAATGTAATCGAATTAAAACCTCGGATGCAATTAGCGCGGGAAGAGACGCAGCCTCCCGCGCGTGCATATGCGCGAGTGCGCTCAGACATTACTCTTCAAATTGACCGAATCGAGTGCGGCTACCGTCGCACCAAGTGCGACTGCATTTCCGCGATTTAGCACGCACGTCACAGGTAGCACTTGTCGCAGCACGGATCGCGACAAATAGCAAAGCTGCATGAGCATCCAAATAGAGCGCTGCAATGCATTGTGATCGATAGTTTTCTGATTTATTAGTTCGACTTGATTTTCTGAATGTTTTATTTTTGATTGCTCTGTCGAATTTTTTTTTGCAACCACTTGCTTGTTTTTAATTCGATTTGGCAGTCCCCGCCGTACGCTTGGAGTGAGATTTTTATTTAAATCGAAGATACGCACACACGTTCTTTACGCAAGAGTGAATTTATTTTGGAAAAAGTCATGCTGTTGCGTTAACTGTGCACTTTTATGTATTATAACCAGAAAATGGAGTTTCGAATTATCTCGACTATTTCAGTGAAATTTTAAAAGAAATAAAAATTTGTTTTGCAAGCAGACGTGTGATGAATTAATACTATTCGAACATACGCAAAAACTGTGAAAAACACGCTACCCTTGGTAAATCACATGTTGATACATTGCGAATTAAAATGTTAAGCGCGCGAAGTCACTCATTAAATTTTGCGAGAGGTCAAAATACTTTTGATCTCTCGCAAGTTGAGTACTCGACGTGTGGAAAAACAGTTTCCCAGATAGAAATTACTTTCCAAGCGTACCTGCAGTCAACTTTTTCTTTCAATTTAATTATGACTTTAGTTTTTTTTAAGTTCCTGCACACGTAGATTGCATGTGTTTTCACCATCCTCGTTTTGGATTGTTTGTTGCATCCCAGGTCCAGGCGAATGTCCCAGGATGTCACAACCTCGAAATCGACGGAAAACCTCTCGGCGACTTTCAGGTACGCAAAACACGCATACGCATATTATCTCTCATCTCGATCTCGTCACTTCTTCATTTTCTCTGGACTTCAACGGTGAGAACTAAGTATTATAAATAGATATATGATTTCATTATCGTGTCGTTGATGTTTAGAATGTAGTATGATTGTGCATCCTTTAGAAACGCCACGCAAGATTGTACGTAAAGTGCACGTATAAGAATGCAAACAGAGACTTTTAAGTAGAATCTTAAGCTTTTCGCTTTTTTTCCTCCAACGAGGTGGGTAAGTCTAGTAGGATGACCGCAAAAGAAACTTATGTAGTAATGCGCGTCTCTTTCTCGACGTCTATTAAAAAAAAGAAATTCTAAAATTTCTTGGAAAGGTGCAAAACTAGAAACTATCCGAAAGGAAACCCAGCAGAAATATACGGCTTACAGCAACTACACACAACGCATAGTTCAGTCACCGACTTTTTCATTCACTTCTTTCTTTCTTTCTTTCTTTCTTCCGCGTTGCACTGTGTCGCATTATTCAGGCCCGTTCGCAGGAATCTCATTGGGCTTTATCTTTGTCGGCCACGCGTCCGTAGACGACTCGACTTATGGAGGCAACCTGCACGGTGCCACGGTTCGTTGCATCGTGAAATTGCGTTTTGTTATGGCTAAGCGAGATTGCCTCCACCGAGCTGAGCGTTTTACAAATAGTGCCGCGCCAAACTATTAGCGTCTACCCGCGTACGTCCCGCAATACGTTTCTGCGAGGGTAAGTCGACAAGAGCGGGCTCTCCTGGCTCTATTTCCAAATGTGCGCTAGCGACTTGATTCCATTCCAGGGACGTAAACTGCAAACAGAAATATCTTTTCATTAACCGATATTCTCGTGCGTTTGTTTTCATTCTGTAATCCGTTTCACTTCGCGATATTTGGAACTATTCTGATTTTCTTTTCTTTCAAGCTCGAATTTTTTAGGCAAATTTTTTGCAAATCGATATTTTTTTAAGTGGAAATGGTAGGGAATTTAAAGTTTTTTTTTTACGCATGGAACGGAACGCCTGCATCTCGACTGATTCTCGTTTCATTCTATCTCTCCTCCGATCTATTTTTGCAGATTTCGCTTTGCTTAATCAAATTTGTTGCGCAACGAGCTCGGGATATAAACGAGAGTAAAGCTAATTAACGACCACGTTTACTCTATTACAGGAGTAAGAGCCGTAGCGTGGATCATGGACTTACGCCACCCATCGATTTCGATGCTCTGCGAAGCAAAGTCGAAGGACGCTTCGAATCTGTGGATAAACTCTCGAAAGGTGAGTACACGTTATTACATTATTAAATAATTGAAAATCGATCGCATTGGATATTTTGCATAAAAATTCGAATCGCATAAAGTGGATCCCGTTTAATCGCGAGCGTTGTTACAACTCATCAATCATTTCAGAATGGACGTCGAGATCAATTTTTCTTTGAAAAAACAAAATCGTAAATGTGTTAATTACATCTTTTAGGACATATTTTAGGCATATAATTTAATCGCGTTCAATATTAAACTGGAAAACAGGACCGAAAACATCCCAGACTATTTAATATCACAATTTTGATATTAAAGATTTAATATTGAGCCGCTGTGGCAATTTATCTTTTTTACTTCCGAAACGATACGTCATTGTACGACACATGCCCTTTCTATGGTGATCGATTCAATTCGTCGCGTCGCGCTCTATCGAAAATCATTTAACATGCGATGTCCGCCGATGTCGCGCGCGGATTCACGCACTCGATCATCCACGGAATATCCGACGCGGAAGTTCCGGGTGATGACGTCGCCGCGGCGACGACGGCCGGGCGAATTGGAGAGGTTGACCATGATGACGGCGTGATCTATACCGCGCGAAGGTCTCAGGGACCCGGGCCGTTTCGACGAATCAGCCGCGCGCAGCCTTACTCGGGCGAGTTACATTGACTTACTTTCTCAAAGTGGCACAAGTGCCACGTGTGATCGATCGCCCTATCTCGCGCATACTTCGAACCGATGCGCGTTACCAATACCGGCATACCATCGTGAGCTTAATGAAGACTAATTGACGCGCGGGATTAAGGATAAAGTGGTGTTGTAATTAATGGAGCAGCGTTTCGATAAACAAAAGGCAGATCCGACCACGAGAGATCGACAGGATTATATGAGCAAGTGGCCAAACGATCGTACACACATTGTCGCCGTTTCGAATGATTCTTAATTGGGATGGATAATTCGGGTGGAAGATGTAATTGATATTGCTCGTTATACTTTAACCTTTGAGCGCGAGTTTATAGCCATTTCCCACTCAGGGAAATGTTTCGCTGTTCCAGCTAGAATTCTAAATATTACACTTAAATTACATCGCTGTTTTTTGTATTCCGCTGAAAAATTGTCTGTTATACGTAGAATTTATAGCAGCAATATTCTAAGAATATATACAAGAAAATATAGGTCTCATAACCAAATATGATTGGAATCTGGATTGGAGTCTGGACTGATTAAACGTGAGGAACTTTCTTGCTAAATTTGACAAATAGTTCAGATATTATTTCCGTTTCTATTATCTATATTGATTAAATACAAAACATATGTGGTATCGCAGTGTTTACCAATCACTTATCCGTTTTAGCTAATTTTTCGTACCTAAATAATTCTCGTTATAATTGCAAGAGTACTTTTTTCAGTGCCTGTTGTATCTCTCTATTATGTTTGTCAAATAACTTTAGAGACAATTATTGTATGAAAGAGTGATAATTTGTCGTTAGTATGAATAATTGAACTATGCAGATTAGAAACTATTCGTTATCGTATTACCTATTAGATATAATTTATTTGATAATTTATTTAATTTAGTCGCTCGTTAAAATAAGTGAGCGCGCGCGCGCATTTACGATTTTTACACGTTATATTTACACGTCTATTACACAATAAACGGACATGAATGCAACAACTCAAATCGCTATTGGCGTCATCGTGCCGCGCTCCATTTTGCACACGTGAAATTGCCACGAAAATTTAGATTCTGTCTCGACGGCTTCGTGCGCGCAGTTTATTAAATTCGCTTCAAGTACACGAGCACAACCTAGAATACCGGCGCGAACATTTGACTCATTTGCCGTGCATATGCACGCGGGTGTGGCTCTAATGGGAGTGGAGGGTTCGCCAAGGGACAATTGTTTCCAACTATCGTTAGAAATTTATCTCATTACTTGCACCAGCCGTCTGTGGAATTGCACGTCTGAGAAATAATCCGGTCGCCAATCTAGCCTTCTGCGCTCGAAGTTACAGTCGTTGCGAGCAACGTATCTATTATTAATCAAACGAATTCCAGAGAGTATTTTTTTTCTCATAAACTGTTTTATTATTATTAATCGTTGTGTATTTATTATTTATTAAATTAAATTAAATTAAATAATTTATTAAATTGCATAGCAATTTGCGAGGCGAATAAATCAGTGATATTTCATGTTACATTAATTATTCAATTTTTATTAATGTTTTAATGTCGTTAATATTTTTATTATCAGTTACATGTAGTTGGCTGTATTTTTTAATTCATTTTTCGAGAGAGTGATCATTTTTCGCGAAAAATTATAAGGAAAAAAGTCGGGAGAGAGCAGCAATATTCCAAGCGCGATGCATTCGTCGATTGCATTGACGTTTTTATCGGGGTTCCCTTGTCGTCGTATCTATGCATACATGCGACTGTTTACATTGCAACGACACTAGTTGCGCACAGACGGTGCAAACGTTTATTTCTGATTATGCCATGCATAAATATCAAGCGAGTCTTTGAAAAGTTTCTCAGATAGCGATAGGACTAAGGGACGTGTGACGGTCAAGAAATAAAACGGCGGAAACTTATTAACAAGCATCTGCTGCGCGTGATTTATAAAATATATATTGGTATACATATATACCCACAAACATATATTAGTCTTAGTCTTAGTCTTGATGCGCATATTTAAACTACTTAGATATTGATCAGTCGATTTAGTCATTATTGAGATCCGATAATCTCAGATGCTTGCAATTTGCTAGCTCATGTAAAGAGATACGCAGTCCGGTGCACCTTACGCACTTTCAGCATCGAGACACGACCGAGTATCTCTTAGTATTCATTTCTGCGTCCTCTTCCGACGTAAAACCTGTTTTACATAGGTAATTAGACGAAATGCGCGTATATCTATAGAACGATTGCATATATCAAGTAGTTTTGAGATGCTGTCAAAAATGAGGTGGTCACTGATACTGTTAGCATCGATACTGTCCAACGACACGTTTCTATTTTGATACAATAATAAAATAAAATCTGATACTATAGTTTTATTTATTAACAGTAAGTTTTATTAACAGTAAGAGTGACTCAAATAGTATTTTAGCTCGTCTTATAATTCGCGTATTCTAAAATTATGTACGTAAATATATTCGGGAATATACAGTATATATATAATACATTGAGAAAAATAATTTGATTGTATCAATAAGACGTACACGATTGAATGAATTTTGCTAAAACAAAACAGAATTTCAATTGATGATAATAATAATAATAGGAGTTAATATTTTATAACTAAAACATTTGATAGACATTTGATTGATTACCACACGGATTTGATTAATATTTTCCAGTTGAATTTACAAAACTTCTGGTTTATTCAGTACACTGTACCGCCACGAGATGAACACGGCGGAATTCAATTTTTGTTCTTGAGACTCACACCAGAAGAGAATAAAAGGCGCAGAATTTAGAGATGAGATTTTCCACCATCCCTAAAAGTGGGATCAAAGATAAAAGTAACTGAAAGATATATTTTGACAGTCTAGTTTCTAGTTCTGTATCCAATTTAATTCAAGAATCTAATAATTTCTGAAAATTAATATATGTTAAAATGTATTGATATACATAAGAGACTCGATTACACAGCAAGAAATTCTGGTATATTTAACAAGAAAGAATTATTCGATCAATATAAAATTCTGATATATTTAACAAGAAAGATGATTCAGTCAACAAGAAATTCTAGTATATTTAACAAGAAAGAATTATTTGATCAATACAAAATTCTGACATATTTAACAAGAAAGATGATTCAGTCAACAAGAAATTCTGGTAGATTTAACAGGAAAGAATCATACTCATCTGGTAAATCCTGCAAGAATTCTGATTCGTCGATTTTCGAATAAACATATTATAATTGGACACTAATTGGATCTACCATATTTCAGTTAATGCAATCAGATTCTTTTCCTCTGTGTGTGTATGTGTGTGTGTGTGTAATTTATTTATGATATGTATCAATAATATATTATAATTTATTATTTATATTTAAATAAGTAGCCATACATTATACTTTTATTCGTAAAATTGTGGGGTTACTATTAATGGTGAGGATTATTTATTTGAATATGATATTTGACAAGAGTAATGTGAAATTACATTTGTCTCTTATTCATATATTCATGCTGTCACAGCTGAATAATTTATTCATTACATGCCGCGACTGGCAAACGTATCGAACATCTCTGTCGCACGAGACTAATTATGTGAACGATCCTTCGGGACACGAGAGTCGTCGTTACGTCCGTTACTTAATGACACTATAGAGATATATCACAATAATTTGATCGACTAACAAAACTACGATTAGCGACTCTGTACCATTTCGTTATCCATACATCTGGCAATCAAAAGTTCTTTATCGTTTACGCAGTTTATTGCTAACGTGAATTAACGTTATGCAATAATAATGTTCGTGAATATTGATTCGCGAGAATTTCACGAAGCCGACCCATCCAATTCCATCTGATATCTCGTTCCAAGAATCCGAGGAATTAATCTCGTAATTAATTACCGCGCGGGGCGATTTATCGACGCGATCGGAGCCAATAAAGAATGACAGTTGAATAATCCCGCCAAGAGTGACGTCGATTCGATCCCATCATGGCGATCCGTGGTTCGATCAGTAGCGCGGAGGCCGCGGAGTCGGTCGTCGTCGTAGGCCGCGAACGGTGTCGTTGCGTTCGTAAATCACGAGGAGATGCCCGTCGTCCGCGTGTCGATCGGCGCGATCTCGGTGTCGCTCGGACTTGCTCGGAGTCCGACGCGTCGCGATCATCGCGCGATCCTTCGGTTGTTCCTCTTCACCGCCGATCGGTGACACCGCCCGACGCGGACGACCTCCGCGAGTGCGCGGCGCGCTAATCATTCACGTGATCGTGACACCTTCTCACGCAGTTTCAACCGCGCGCGGATGACGTTTGCCTCGCAACGTCCGCGAGGATTGTACC